GGGGGGGAGGCGAACGTGGGCGCTAGGGAAGGGTGCTGAGCCCCCTCCCCGAAGGGCTGAGTTTCAGGTCCAAAAATGGAGCCTGGAATGAAAAAAAAAAAAAAAACAGTTTTGGTGCAATTATTTTATTGTTTCTATTTTTGCGGAATTTATATAGATTAGGGGAATGTTTTAAAAAGTTTGGGAAGGATGGAAAGCGCGGCAGAAACAGCGCGAATTTCAGCAACGTGCACCAAAAGCCAGCTCCTGGAAGTACCCTGTCTTGTATCCCAAGCTCTGCACAAGCAGTTGCTGAAAGGTGAACTGGGTGGGGGTGGGGGGTTACTGTGTTGCAGACGGAAGAATGACCCTGTTTGAGAGGCTTGGTCATGTCTCCCCAGGCTGAGGCAGCCGCCTTCTTGAGGAACCTTCTGGAAGCACCAGGTTATATGGCAGGCAGGAATTGAGTTGCGAATGGAGGCAAACTGGTTTTTCCACAGCCCAGAGGGGGAAGTCACCCTAAGCTGTTCCTGGCAACGTTTGGGATGACATGTCCCCCAAGTGAGGCCTCCCAAGATGTGTTTCAGGGGGACCCCCTTACTCCCAAGGTGATCCATGGGGTGGCTCTCAGGAGACCCTTCCCTTACAGCTAGCCTTAAACCCCAACAGTCACCCCCTACCTTCCCACCATCTAGAAACACTGGAGAAGGGGGCCACCCACACATACATACACCCCAGCCCTGCCGTGCTCCCAGAACAGGGCTCCCTGTGGTCCCTTGGTCTGACCCAGGCACCAGCAGCTCGGCCCAGTATGGTCAGCATGCCCCGCAAACCCCTCAGAGCCCCTTTCCAGTCCACGGCGGCAGCTGCCTGCCGGTGCCGCGGTCCGTGAAGGTGTCAGGCCCAAGCCCGAGTGTGCTGGAGGGGAACCGTGCTCTCAAGGCTTACTTTCATGCAGATGTGTTTTTGCAAATTTTCACTTTCTACACACGCAAAGGCTCGGAACTACTTAGTCACCTGTGACACTGCCAATGTCTTGGGGTGACCCCCACCAGATGCCACCCCAGGGGGACGGAAAGAGGGCGGCTCCTTGTCCAGAAAAGCCCTGATGCTCAGCTTAGGTTGTGTTGGGCGCTTCAGGATTCCCCCTGAGATAAAGGACCTGGTTTGGGGGTACCTCAAAAAAGTGGGGTCACTGAAGCCTAAAAATGGCCATGTCCCCGGGGACTGGTCAGCTGCCTTCCTAGGGGTGTGCTTTCCTGTGGGGATGGAAACTTCTGACGGTTTCTTCTATTTGACTTTGAAATTGATCTGGACCAAAGATTAGCTGTGAACATCACGTGAATTATTGGTCTTTTCCTCTTGGAAGTTGATGCTAATTACTTTTTGTCTTCAGTTTTTTTATGAATACTTTATTCATTACAAAGGTAGAGTGAGGGATCTTCCAGGCCTTGGTTTATTCCTCCTCGTAGCTGCCAATGGCCAGGTCTGCACTAGGCTGGAGCCAGGGACCTCACTGGTGTCTCCCACAGGGGCAGTAAGAGCCCATGACCTCAGCTGCTGGGCAGCCAGGACTGGAGCTAGAGGTCCAAGCTAGGCTGCTCAACCTTCTGGGCCAGCACACTGCCCCAGGTGAGCCGTTTTTTAATGTGTGATGAAATAAGGATTTCATAGATTTGTGGTACCTGTGGTGGGTGCAGTGGCACAGCCTGTTAAGACTCCATCTCCCACCAGCTTCCTGCTGACGCATCCTGGGGGTAACAGGTGGTTCAAGTGCCTGGGTTCCTGCCCACTTTGGAGACCAGGATGGAGTTGCTGGCTCCTGGCTTGGACCTGGCCCAGCCTCAGGCTGCTGCCATTTGAGGAGTGGACCAACAGACACATGACTTCTCTCTTGTTTGGTCTGGGACCTTTGATTTTGCCCACCCCTAAACAGCCCAAGGCAAACAGGACTCCAAGCGCCAGACAATGCATCGGGCCTGGCTGCGCTCGCACCGCTATGCAAGACGCATTTTGCTCACAATCCAAAATACCACATTGCCACTCACTCATTGGGCATCACAATGCTGTTTCTACTTGCCGGGGGTCTGGGAGCAAAGCCACAAACATGCATGGCCTTGTGAAGCCACTTCTCAGGAGGCAAGGACGTGGTGTTGCGTGTTGGGGGGAGGGGGTTAGGAGTTCAAATCCTGCCTTGTCACACAATAGCTGTGGGATCCTTCCCAGGGGACCTCCAGTCCTTTCTTTGCCAGCGCACTCCAGGGCACCCCCTCCCGTTTTCGCCTCGGCCTAGGTGCGCGGATCACCTAGCAACAGCCTTGCATTGTGGAGCCGGGGGTTCTTTGAGTGGTCTCCTTTAGTTATGCAAATGAAGCCGGGTAGGCGCCCACTGCCCTGGGGGCCGAGCGGTAAGTCGACTTTTCGGGGCCTGACAAAGGCTGTCCCTTCCCGGCGCGGCCTCTCGGAATGCCGAGCCGGTTTGCAAATGAAACTCGGCAGCCTTCGCCGAGGGATCCTTCCCCATCCCACGACCCCCTCCTCAAAGTCAGGCCCTGATAGAAATCTACTCTCACGGAGGCCCAGGGAAATGGCTGCAGTAGCACAGGAAGGCCTGGAGTGGCCTTGTGAGGTTCCCCCAGGTCATGGGGAACTGTGGGACCCAGCGGGGCCCTAGATGCGGCGGCGCTTTGGGGAGCACCCAGACACACCCTGGGGGCGTGAAACAGCGCCACTCTGTGGACAGCAGGGGAACAGTTACAGGTGTCAGATTTTCCTTAGCTGGGGGAACCCTCCCCCCCGCCCATTCCCCAAAGGTGAGCTGAATTTCCTGTAAGGAAAGGGGGCATCTGAGACACTTGAATGAATGAGTGATTTAAAAGATAACAGGTTCTGTGTCCTGGTTAAAAGTTGTGCCAATGATACATAGTCAAGTGCTGACCCCAGCACCAGGCAAATCCAACGCACTGCCACTGGGGCTGGGACTCAGAAAATACCACCTGCCGTGTGCCACTATGGGGTTGCCAGGGCTTGGAGCTCGCTCTCCTTCAAGCATCATAAAAACCAGAATCCCTCTCCCTCCAAGCCAACCACAAACCCTGCAAAGGTCACCCTCTCCTTTCTCCCCTTAGGGCCCTGACCCTCATTCCAGTGGGGTCCAGCCCTGCGCCCTGGGGAAACAATGTGACAGAGGCCAAGAATGTGGCCAGGCAGGCCTGGCCAGCTCCCCCTCAGAAGGTACCCTACGGGCCCCACCCCCATCCCGGCCTTGGGGTGTTATGCCGACTCTTCTCATCAAATAGACTTTTTATGCTTTTCTCTGTTAATCTCTGATGTTATTAGAGTGTGGCCCTGACCTTTAGCTCAACCCTTATGCCAACAAGACTAGGGATGTCCACATCTTCCAGAAGGTTCCTGTGTCTGCTTCCCTAAATGACAAGCAATCAACCTTGCAAAGGGCTGTCATTAGAGAGGGCCAGGGTGGGGCGGGGGTTGGGGACCCAGGTCACTGTCCAGCCAGGATCCTTCTGGGCTGTTGTACGTGGCCTCCACCACTGGCTAGTGCCCATCCTCCTGGGAGCTGCCACAGCCCTGCAGGACCAGGCTGGCGCCGTGGCACTGCCCCCATCTGCCCACTGTGAAGGCTGGCTTCTCATGCCTCCCTCAACCCAGGCCTGGGGCCCAGGGTAGCAGGCAAAGCCTCCACTTAGGACTCCCAGCTGCTGGGACATCCGGAGTGAACCTGAGGAGGCGGGGTCAGGGACCCCCTCCTGCTCCTAGGCCCTTGGCTTGCTAGATGGGCACTCCCTTCCTCAAGCCACCTGGCTAACGTCTCAGAACGAGGGTTCTGCCAATTGCAGAGGCAGTAGAAAGAAAAGGTGGAGGGCAGTGGAGCAAACAGCTTTCCTGGGCTCAGATCCAGGCCCCCGCATCCTGTGGAATGTCCTCCAATCTGGGCACAAGCTGCCACCTGTTTATTCCACCTGCTCCACAGCCCTTGGCAGATAGACACCTCCACCAGGAAGCCCACCAGCACCTGAAACACATACCTTGCCCTCCACCCACACCAGGGGCAGCGCAGTAGCTGCCCACGGGACACCTGCAATGGGCAGGTGCCACAGCCTGGCCCCACCCTCACCCCAGGGCTCTCCTCCTTGCTGTGCGCCCCCAGCTGCTCCCAGCAAAGAGGTAGCCTTGTCCTCACACCTGTCCGGCGAGCCTGGCACCAGGAAGTGCCGCCTTAGGAAGAAGCCAGTCTCATTTTATTGAGAAAATAGAGACGACCGATCCCTCCATCTCTACCAGGTGACTCCAACGTGAGGTAGGGGCCCCGTACCCTCGGTACCCACCCCAGAACCCAGTGCCTCTTTCCTGGGCCCTGGGGAAGCAGGGGTGCACCTGGGCTGAGAGGGGAGAGAGCAGGAAGGGGGATGAGGGTAGGAAAGGGGTCCACTGCCTCCTGAGGCCTGGAGCCTTCTCCCTCCATATTCTTCATAAATAAACTTCACAGTAGCAGAGAGCATCCACTTCCAGGGACCAAACCAGAGGGCTGAGACGGGGAGGGCGGGGAGATGGTGGGCAGGAGTCTGCTGGTCAGCCCAGGCTGGGGCTGCAGCTGACACCCAGAGTCGGTGCTGAGTGCTGAGGTAGTGAGAGCGGCGGACACGAGCCGACATGGGAGTGCAGGTCGTGGCCCTCCCCTATTCCCCCCTGCCCACTCCCCCCCCCCCCCCCAGGGAGCCCAGAGCCTTGGGCTGCAGGGGGCGGGGCCCTGTGAGCCTGCACAGGGTGGATATTCTCCAGCAGGGGCCATGTGGGGGCCCTGGGGGGGGGGGAGACTGAGGCACTGCAGAGACTGCTCCCCATGAAGACCCACCAGGGCGGGGCCTGGCCACACCCAGCTCCCTGAGCACGGGGCTTCCTTCAGAGGCCTCCAGGGCCACCTACCAGGTCCCCACCAGATCAGAGGCACCCCCCCACCCAGTCCCTCCAAGGGACTTCCAGTTCCAACGGCTCCAGCCGTTCCTGGAAAAGACAAACACAGCGGTCCCCTTCTTCCCACCGCAGCTACCTGCACCCCCTCCCCACCACCACCACACCCAGCAGCAGCACTTTCACCACCTCCCGGCAAGGGACTGAAGGCTACGCCGGGCACTGAACGGCAATCCTGGAGGCTTGGTGGCGGTGGCAGCGGGCTGGGGGCAGCATGGCTCAGAGAACCTGCAGCTTGCGGGAGCAGGTGAGGTTGCCGTGCACCAGCCCCCACATGGCCAGCAGCTCAGCGGGCAGCAGCTTGTGCACTACCAGCATGGAGCGGAAGAAGCACGGCTCCCTGTTCATGCGGCTGTTGCGGTTCCGGGAGATGCCGAAGGTCTTGAAGCCCTCGTGGGCCACAGGCTGCACGCCCAGCACCTCCAGGCACATGCCCAGGAAGACGTCGTCAATGGGGTAGAGGTCCAGGGTGTCGCAGGCGCGGTGCAGGCGCCGGGCCAGGCTGCCGGCCATGAGGAAGCCCCCTCCGCCGGCGTAGGGCGGGTAGCTGGGCTTGGGGTACAGCACCAAGGGGATGTAGTACTTGTTGTCCTTCCTGCGGATGGGCCGGGCGTGTTGCAGGACGTCCCCCACAAAGAGGTTCTCCTGCGGCCGCCGGTCAGCCAGGAACTCCAGCAGGTTGGTGGGGTTGACAAAGACGTCGTCGTCGCCCTTGAAGATGAAGGGCACGTGGGGGCAGTAGATGTCCAGCCACTTGAGGAAGTGGATCTCCTTAAGGGTCAGGTTGAAGAAGCTGTCGAGGAAGTCCCACTGCAGAATGTCGCCGTACAGGCGGTCCTCGTAGGCCAGCAGCTGCTGGTAGTGGGTGCGTTCCTCCTGTTTGGACGCTGTGCCCAGCAGGAAGAGGGTGCGCACGGCGCCCCGGCCCCCACCCACCGACTCCCGCTCCAGGCCCCAGGTCTGGCGGATGGCCTCGCGACGGTCATGCTGCGTGATGATGGACTTGACCACCACCAGCAGGTACACGTCACCCTGGCACTTCTCTGGGTGGTTCAGCAGGATAGGGAAGTAGCGGCAGTGTGAATAGGTCAGGAACTGCTGGAAGTGCGGCTCCAGGCCCTGGAACCAGGACTGGTGTGTCAGGTTGGTGTTGGCAGAGCAGTTGTTAGTGGTCACGTCCCAAGTCTGGGGTCCCCGAAAGGCTGCTGCCGTGGGGGCGGTTGCATCTTCTGGGCTCTTCCAGAAGCTGTTGGGGTTCACCAGGTTTTCGCTCACTTTCTGGACCTTCGGTGGCACTAGGGAGGGCAGGGGGTGCTCCTGGAGGAACTCGCTGGGTGCCAGGCTGCGTTGGAACACCGTCACGGCCACCAGCAGCGCCAGTGCCAGGCACACACTCCTGTACAGGGTTCTCTTCCTAAGAGACAGGTGCCAAGAGGAGGAGAGCGGATGAGCCTCCGGGACCCCTCCTGTGCCCTGGCCCCCAATGGACACATCTCCCAGAGCCCTGGTCCAGTGGGATGGGGTGGGGTGTCCTGCCTCCTCTGCCATGCTGACCTCCAGGCAAGCAGGCTCCCAGGGTTCCAGCAGCAGCAGACATATCCTCAGGGGATCGTGTCCCCTTAGGTGACGGTGGGGGCTCTGGAAGGCTTCCATCTATCTGCCCATGCAAGCCTAGGAGTGGTGGGCAGGGCATCATGCGGTCATTCTGTCCCTGGGTCCCCGGCAGGAGCAGAGGGGACCCCTGTCTGCAGCCCTGGAGCTCAGCAACTGCAGGTGTGTGGGCCCTTACTTGAGGCAAGAAGAATCCTTAACCCTTCGACCCAAGACAGTAGCCCTCAAAGTGGCCAGACCTGGAGACAGACTGGGTGACACCCACTATCCTCACATCTCCTCACTTCATCATCTCTGCTCCCCTAAACAGCCTCTCGGAGAATACGAGGTCCCCCAACCCTGCTACCCTGGGAAGGGATACAGCAAGCTCCCTGGGGACCAGGGGTTGCATGGTAGTGGTGCCCAGGTAACTGGGTTCCCCATACCCATTTCAGAAACATAAGTCTGGGCTGGGGAGGGCAGGTCACACCAAGCCGCAAGCCCCTGTCCCCAGGACCCTGCCTCCTGAGCCCCTGTCTTCCCTGTGTGGACTTGAAGAGTGGTGGGAAACAGCCAGCAGCAAGGTAGGCTGACACCAAGGGACAGGAAAGGCAAGTAGTGCGTGGGGATGCGTGGCGTGGCCCCAAGGTTGGCGGGCCGCAGGTCCAAGGGTACAGAAGGCTGGGGCCCGCAGGATGAATCTTCCCTCCAGGTTTCTTGGGCTTGGGGTGGGAGAAAGACCTGGGTCACCTAAGGTACGGGGCTGCGGTGGCTGGCCCGAGCCCGACTCTTCCGGATCCCGTCTACCAACCTTGGGGCAGAGAAGTCCCCAGTTGGTGGGGCCGGGACGGGAGGAGGGAAGGAGGCGCAGTGGAGAGAGGTGCGGGGAGACCCCTGCGCTCCCGGTGCGCCCCACCTGCAAAGCTCAAACCTCCGGCAGCAGGCAAGCCCAGGAGCCTGGCTCGGGAGGGGAGGCCAGGGACTGAGGGCGCCGGGGCGGACGCCAGGGCGCCAGGGGTGAGCGCCCTGCGGCAGGGTCGCGGGGTGGCCCGGACGCAGGAGCCCTGCGGGGTGGTGGGGGAAGATATCTGAGTCCGGACACTCAGTTGCCGGCAAGACTTCGAGTCCCAGGCGCTGGGGTCGAGCAAAGGGTGTCTGGGGCCCCGGAGTTGGGGAGCTGGGTGCGCGCCCCTCGCCACCCCTGCCGCCCACCCTCTAATCCAGGCACCGCTGCCCCGCCAGGACATCTCCCATCCCAGGTCTCCGGCGTCCCTACTTGTTCCCAGCACCCCCGACTCACCACAGAGACATGGCGGCCCGGCCGGGCGGCGGAGAGGGGCGCGCGGGTCGCAGCTCTGGGCGCCGCTGCTGGGACGGCGCGGCCGGGCAGCCAGGCAGGCGGGCTGGCGGGCTGGCGGGGGTGGAGACCGGGCCGCGCCCCCGCCGAGACTTTCCTCTTCCCGGCGGCGGGAGGAGGGGCCGCAGGGGCGGCGGCCCAGGTGCGTTAACCCCTTCGGCGCCCCCGGGTCCTCGCCACTGACCGCGAGTCGGGAGGCGCCGAGGCTCACCAGGGGGCCCCTGAAAAGCTGGCGGGGCACGGGGACCCGAGCAGGGGCGCGGGTCGGACCTGAGCGCGAACAAGAATCCCCCTTGCCCTGGATGCGCCGGGGTCGCTGCGCGCACGTACGCACGGGCGGGGCCCGGCCGGCCGACCGCCCTCCGCGCCCCCAGCGGTGCCCCAGGAGGGATCCTTCTCTCGCTATCCCGGTGCGGACTTTTTCTTGGGTTCTACTTCCTTCTACCCTGGGCCCCGGGACCTGTTATCCCGGGCTGGCCAGAGAGGAAGTGTTGGGCAAACCCTCTGCCACCGCTCATCCCTTCCCCCTCCCCAGCCCAGGGAAGGCGGCCGATTTGCTCGGTCCAGTCCCCCTCAGTTTCATCAGCTAAAACTTTCAGCTCTTGTTGGGGTGGGGGAACAGGCAAATCTGGGTGATGTGGGTGGCCCAGAGAGCTGACTTCCAGCGGCAGACGCCTCTGCTGGCGCTGGGGGACCGCTCTGGTTCCACATTAGGGCCCCATTGCTGAGCACAGCCTGTGGCATCGAGTGGACACAATATGTGCCGGCCTGTATGGGCGCCAAACTGCCATATACGAGGACGTAGATAACTGCGGCCCCATTTAAATCTTTCTCCTGCCATGCACAGGACGTGGACCATAGCCTGCAAGGGGTGCTGCCTGGCCCTGGGGCTAAGCCCTGGGCCCCAGGTTCAGGAGTGAAGGGAGGTGCTGGCTTGTCCAGGGCCATGCAGGGAGTCTGTGATCAAGCGTTTTCAAGGACCACCCCTGAAACCCTCACCCCACGCTACTGTCTGGGGAGGGGGAACAGAAACTGAGCCTGCTGCGAAATTTTCCGGACTGTTGTGAGCCCCAAGCAGGGAATGTGAAGGGCCTTCCAGGCACAATTCCAGAAGGAGCACCCTGGGGCCAGCACCCTTTGGAACAGAGTTGGGGGAGGCCTGCCTGCAGCCCAAACCCTACAGCTCCTGTCTCACCACCTCCCAGCTCTACTGGTCCCTGGGACTGCCCTGTCCCTGCATCCTAGCATGGTGCCACGCTGTCCGCCTGGCCTGGCCGCAGCACTGACCTCTCTCAGCCCAGTTCAGTACCTGAGATGTCCTCCTGGATGCCGGGATGCGACACAGCTGTCTAGCAGGAAGAGGTCGGGGTTGGGCCAGGGCAATGAACTTCCGGGCCCCTACTTGGGGCAGGTGCTTGGCCCCTGGAGACGTCGGTTTCCTGCGGCTGGTGGAGCAGGCCCTCTATCTCCACAACTGGCAGCTGTCAACAACATGGTGAATATTTGGCCCACCAGGCCTCCTCCCAGGAGCTCAGGGGTCAAACAGGTGGACATGACCAAGGTCAGTGGGACATTTGCTGGTGGGGCTGTCAGCTAGGAGGAGCTCTCATCATGGAATCATTTGACCTGCACATACGGGGACTCCCTGAGTAGGGATGTGCGTGATGGGTTAACACAGGAACCCCTGAGGGTGGGGTGCAGGTGGGCAGCTCTGGTTAGTTTCCAGGCACCCCTGCAGGCCCCTTGGCCCCTCCCTACCGGGAAACACAGGATCTTCCAGCCTTCACCCCGCCCCGCCTCCAGCCATCTAATCTGGCTAAAACAGCTTGCAAGTTCCACCCCTGAGGGTTCAGGCTGGCAGATTCCAGGGGACACACTGGGCCTGAGAAAGGGCCCTGGAGCCTTTGAGATAGGGACCAGGCACAGCATGACCTAGCAGTGCTGGAAGTGGGGGTAGGAGGGGGTGGGCTCCAGGCTGCTCCCTGGAAGGAAGGCTTAATAAGAACCCCAAGAAATGTCCCCTTTCCTCCCCCCCTCACTTCACTTGCTTGGAATCACACCCCTCCATCCCAGATAGCAGGTATGGGGGGTGCGGAGACAGGTGACCAGCCTGCAGGTACCCTGTGCCAGAAGCTTGGCTGACCACGTGGGGACCGGCTTGGGCAAGAGGGAACCCCCTAAGAGCCAACGAGAAGCTGGGGGCCGCTCTGACACAGCACGCTGCGGCTGTAGCCCTGGTTGGGTCTGAGAGCCCATGGATCCATCCACCTGACTCAGCATGGGAAACACTCTGACCCAGGTCTGTTCTCACAGCCAGCCCTTCCAGTGGGGCTGTCTCCACTGGCAGCACAGTCGGAAATCTCTAGAAGAACACATTGAGGTGCCTAGCAATCCTGTAGCCTCGAACTTTCTTGTCTCCCTGCTACAATGCTCTGACTGGGGATTAGCTGGTGTGGTCCCCATATTCTCGGATTCACCTTGAGGAAGCAAGCCTGCTCTGTGCTTTGGGCTGGAGATGTCCTGAGTCTGAGACCCAGCTCTCCTAAGACTGCACCTGATGACCAGGGATGGGGCCTCAGTGCCTTCCTGCCCTGGGGATGGCCAGGACCCACAGTGGAGGGGCCCCAGGGCTGCCGGGGGCTGCCGTACAAATTGGCATGGGGGACACCCACTAGCAAGTTCAGCCCCTGACTGACAGGCATCCCCATGGAGTAAGAAGAGGGGTGGGCGGAGGAGGAGGAGGAAGCCAGAAACTGGGTGGCAGTGGGGAGGGGGTGTGTAGCGCCTCCTGCTCCAGGGAAGCACTGGGCCACACGAAAGCCCAGATGGCAAATAGCTTGAGCTGCAAAGAGGAGGAAGTCCTGAAGCGGGGGCATCAGCTCATGTCAGCGTGCCTGGCTGGAGGCCCAGCTGCTTTGCTTCTGAGCCATCTTCCAGCGCATGCAGATAGTAAAGGATAGTAGCAGACCAGGCCCTTGGGGACCCGCAATGTGCCTGGCTCAGCATCGCTGTTGTAGGCTTTGAGGAACCAGCAGGTGGAAGATCCTTCTCCCTATCTGTCTCATCCTGTCTCCTTTCAAATAATAGCAACTGCAAATACCACCACAAGGGAAACATCTGGAGCCTAGAGGATGCCTGCTTCCAGGGTTCCCTGGAAGTGGTGGTGATGGGGAGGGAGGGGGAATGCCTGATTTTCTATCACCTTGGTCAGTTTTGGGTCAGGTCCAGATGCCAGGGCCCTTCCTGTGAGCCTGAGAGAGGAGGGCAGAATGGGGAAGCAGCTGAGAGGAAATTGAGGCCGAAGAGGGACGCGATGGGGAAGTGGAACCTCCAGACAAAGCAGGCAACAGCTGGAGAAGTGGACAGAGGGGGGACGGCAAGCACGGCTGAGTCTAGGCTGTGGCTCAGGGCAGCCATGACCCAGGGCTGGTACCTCTGGCCAAGACAGCATGGTCCCATATACCTATACTGGTTTTCCTAAGGCCCGCAGCTTCCTCCCACAAGGAGTGGTGCTGTGTATATGGGGGGGGGGGGTGGGGTGTAGACGTGCTGATGGTTCCAGGCACTTGTCACACCGTGGTCAGGACTCCAGTGGAAAGAGACTTTTTCCTCAGTCTCCACATGGAAGAATGTAGAATGTAGGGAGGAGTTTCGCTTGGTGCCCTGGGTCTTTGGCTGTGTGGGCAACCCCATGGGAGCATGCCTGGTGGGGAGGTGAAGGGGCAGGTCCCTTCAAGGCAAGTCCCATCCTGGAGAGTATTCAGGGGCCACAGAGAGATCCCCTGCTTCCTCCCCTGCACCTGATGCCAAGTCCTAAGGACTCAAGTCATTTTCCAAACCAAACCCCTCACCCCCAGGGGCCCGGGATCCAGGGAGAAGGAAGGGGTGGTGCCCCGAGAAAGTGACTCCCGGCTTCCCGGCAAAACTTTCTCTCGCTGGGGTGTGTGGTCACGGCTGCTTCCAGGGCTGGGTGGCCCAACTGGTCCCTTCCCTGTGCTGGGGACAGCCGCAGCCAACCCTAGTTTTGTGGGTGTGGAAGAATGTTAAGGAGAAAGGAACCAGGTAGCCAGAGAGGCCAAAATTCAAAGTGCCAGGACTTGACCATGGACAGGGATGCCGGGCAGCCTGAAAAGCCCAGAGGAGAGCTCCAGGGTGGGACAGCACCCATGTCCCCCGAGGGGTGCCCTGGATACTGCGGCCAGCACAAGTAGCAGGAGGTGCAACCACAGACACTGCACGCTCATACCCTCACACTGCACATACATGCATTCTATCCATACACACCCATCCAGACATGCATTGCACATAGCCTCTCACACACCTGCACATGTGTACATACATACACAGACACACACACACCACAGCCTCTCTCTGTTGGGAGCCTCCTTCCACCAGCTCATCCGCTATCAGGGAGGCCCTACGAGGCTGGCCCTGGGGAACAAGGAGAGGCTGAGGTCCCTTTGGGTGACCACCCTCTCTGCTGCACGCTCTGGGCACTGCCCCCTGGCCCTCAGCACTGCCACCTCTGTATGTTGCCCAGCCCTGGCCTGCTCGTACTTAAAGGACTTGCTCCGAGTCAGTCCTCTTCCAAATATGCCTCCAGGCCCGCTCTTTGCCTCTCCCTGTCCTTCCTCCACCTGCCTCCATGCTGGGAACCCCAGAGGTGGGGGCAGGGCCAAGTTTTCCTGCTGTCCTAGGGGGCTGCGAAGGACTGAGTGGCTAGCATAGGCAGGCTGAAGGAGCCTGGTAGAGGTGGGAGTGGGTCTTGTCACGACTGTCCACTCTAAGGTGACTCCATCCGACACAGCACATGCTTGCTGACTCCTGCTGGCAGCACTGGTACCCGGGTGGGAGCAGGGCCCTGGCCTTGGCCAGCTGAGCCCAGGCTGCCCGGCCCGCCCCACCCCAGGCCACCGTGAGTCACATCCCTGCCAGCCGGGCAGCAGGCCTGGGACACAGCTGCCTTTCAGGCCCTGGGCCTCGAACACTGGCTCCGTTTTCCCTGCCGGCGCCTCCCCCTCCCGCTCAGAGGCCGCTCATGGAGGCCTCCTTCCTCTTCCCAGCACAGGGCTCCCTGTCTCTCGTCACCCGGCTCCCATCCAAGCCAGCCTTGAATGGCTGTGTTCTCAGGGCTCCCAGACGGGCCAG